CGGAGCAGGTGGTAGCACCACTGAGCTAAATCCCTGGCCCTGTACCACTATTTTTTATATTTTGCTTTGGTGTCGTGTTCATAAACGTGTTTTGTCCTATGATTATACATTTCTTATATTAGTAAAAACAGCATTATAGCTTATATTTTTTTAACCTGTAATGATTTAAAAGGTCTCTTAGTTATTGTACTAACTGAACCATGTAAAAATCGATTTTCTTTTTACTAGTAGCCTTCCTTATGAGAACTATGGATTTATTTTAAAAGGAAACAGAGGGTGGAAACATATTCATTGAATTTTTACTGAGTGGTTGTTACTGACTAGCATTGTTCTTCATTATGAGACTATAGCATAGGCACAAAGTCTGCTCTCATCAAGCTTATATTCTTGGTGAAGGCACATACTAAATTTATGATATGTCAGAGCATGGAAGAAAAAGAAAGTGATAATATGGGGTAGAATCATCACAAGTTCCTGATAGATTTGATACACATTACGATGAGGAAGAATCAAAGTTGACTCCAAACTTGTGGGGTGGAAAGAATGGAGTTGCCATGAAGTAAAATAGGAAAATCTGGGCGAACAAGTCCCCCTCCCCACCTTGCTGGAAAGGGGAAGGTTAGGAACTCACCTTGAGTGTATTAGGTCTTATTAAGACATCTGATTGGAAATATTGAATAGTTATATAAATATGTAATTCATATTCATGGACAAAAGATAACTACTAACTACTCAGAATGTTAACGTTTTGGAAAAACCATACATATTTTCAGTAATTTTTCTATGCTTAAAAATGTTCTGTCTTGGTTAGAAAACTGATGTGTTGTTGTAGCCTGTGTTTTTTTCACCTAGCAAAATGTATTTATATTTAATAACCTACTTCCAAATGATAGGATTTCAGTAAATGTCTGTGAATCAAACTCTTGTTATTGACCATTTAAGTTGTTTTCAGTTTTGGGCCATTATGACATTATAATGAGCGTTCTTCTTTATACCTATATTGTTTTCTTGGAAGATTCTTAGAAGTGGAATCACTGGATCAATGCAAATTTTTGAAGCTTTTGCTGTATATGATAAGTCTGGCAGGATTCAGTTTCTTCTTAGACCTTTTTCTAATTTTAAAGATGATGATTATAATTGGAAAAATGTAGACAAACATCTACGAAGAAGAAAATGAAGATTACAACCATTGCTAATGATTTTATTTATTTATACTGTACTTCATGCATTTATTG